ACAAAACAAATATTGGAGGTAAATGCATCAAAAGGAGGTCGAAACGGAGGTCTTTTGTCTCGACCCGTCTCCAGGGTGTCCGTTGTGGGCCTTGCATCCTTGCAGAAGTCCGAGGCGGAGGCCGCCTGCAAGGCACGCAGCCTCAACTTCGAACGATGGATGAGCAGCAACGATGACAAAAGGGATAAACACCTGCAACAAGAAAGGAAAGGAACATAGAAAGGCAAGGGCCCCTTCAATAAGGCCTCCTTTAAAAAGGCCTTATCAGTAATATTTTGATCCTTACCTTCATATTGTCCGTTCTTCCGACTGTTGTTTGATTTTTGGATGCTGCCAGGAGTGGGGCATTGAAAAGGCCTATGCGGGCTTCGAGGAGATATCCAGTGTTGTGTGCACCATTCCATCATTCAGTTTGTTGTGCACGCTAGACTCGGAAGTAGTGCTTGTGTGGGATTCCAATTTCCCACCGAAATACAACAGATCCAATTGTACATCAAGGATCATCGACAGACAAACTGACCTCATTGACCTTGTCAGCACACTGACCCAACTAGAGGGACAACCTCCAACAAAAAGGGAAACAGCAAAGCACAGCGCAAGCGCTTCAAAGGCCGCATCGAACCCAGCAAGCCTCAAGACGCAAACGCAAAAAATGGCAGGAGATGGCCATCCTGAATGGCACACGCACCAGAAGTGCTCATTATCCGGTTATGATTATGTTGTTTGAGAATGTGTGAGCAGCTTCATTCAGGAGCTCTTGGCAGATCCGGCAGTTGATGCTGTCTCTTCGAAGCAGTTTTGAACTCCTTGTGTATTAAACTGTATTCAATTAGAATGACCCCCCCACAGATCCCCTGCCAAAAGGAATCAATAGGCCAAAGCCCATGTGTTGGTCTCCCCTATTGGTTCACACCCATATAATCCCATACATACAACTACATAAATACATTGCTTTTTGATTTGGAATCATTTTTTGGTCGGATGAGGTCTACAACGCCTTGCCGGTTGGTGTCCGTTGTCACTGGACGGTGAAAGCCATTTTGGCCGGCAAACATGTGCTGTGTGAGACGCCCTCTGTCGCTCGGCAGATGCAGCTTCTGACAGTCTCACAGGTACACCTGCACGCCTTGTCATGGCTCAGTCAGAGCAATGTTTTTCACGCTGTCGTTATGAGTGGAAAACGCATGTCACGCTGAAACTCTTGGCTTCACGGGTCTCATTGTCACGCTGTGCTTGTCTGGATGAGTCAATGAGTGATTGAGTCCTGTTGTATTTGACATGGTCACAACTGAAACTGCCAATGTATAAATTCGTTTTGACTATGCCTTCTTTTGATCCATCTCCTTTCCCTGAGCAACAGCAGAAAGTGTTGCTCCCCGAACCACCAACATCGTTCTGGTCTTCCACGTGTCTCCCCATTTCGCCAGTTTGGTTCAGGACGTCGCAGATCTAAGCACTGTTTGTGGTTCACGTTGATGTAGTTATCATAAATCCAAGTGCGGATGATTGGTTCATAAGTAAGTCCTCCCTGCATTTTTCGATTTTGCGATTTTGGAATACAGACTACAGACTGTCGTTCCGGTGTTGGTACATGCTCCTTGTTGCAGTGCTGATTGGATGAAACTTGTTTCAGACCAAGAGCCTGCACCGTCCTTCATTGCAGGTGATGAACGGATGGGAAGCCGTGGCTGCCCAACGCGCAGCAGAGGACTTGTGACGTGTTGAAACGAAGGAATCGTTTCCCACAGTGAGAGACTCGGAAACAGCTGCAGCTGAAGATGATGTTTTAACGACTTAGCCTTAGCTGTTTCCATCTGGGTGAACCACTTACCTTCCTGGTTTTCTGTTTAAATGGTTTAAGAGGGACGACATATGATACTTACTTGAAACATGTCGATAAAACTTATGATGATGTTTTGAAGGTTTGCGTCTTGCAGGATTGTGGTCGGGTGCTGCTGGAGGGCACTCATCCGACTTGTCATCCAGTGACCAAACGTGTGCGGCAAATGATCCTGGAAGGCAAAGTAGGACCGATTGAACGACAAACCAATGGACGACATGTATGAAACTTGTCATCAAGCTACTAGAAGGGTCGGTTCTCATGTGTGGCACAGCCATAGTGTCTTTGCAGGAAAAGTGGAGCACATCGATCTCACTATGCCGGTTGGGCACTCCTTGCAAGGCTGCTTGGTGCATGACAAAAATCTGAAGCAGATTGTACCTGTGCAGGACATGCTGGCAAACATCGTGCATGGAAAAGCAAGCTTAGGTAAGATGGTTTGCTCCAAGACGGGTGCCATGATGGGTATTGGTGTCCACGGAGTTGCCATCATTCGGGCACTCTGTGGAGATGAACCTATTGTTGTCAATGCCACAGAAGCTTGTCAGAAGTTGATGTGAGGTGTTTCCAAAATGCATATGTGGTGTTTGACAGATCACTTATGTGGAAGTTTCAGAACTCTGTCATGATTGTGTAACCGGGATTAACTTGTGCCAGTCCTGCACACTCAGGCGCAACAGACACTCGGCGCAACTTGAACGTGTGGAGTGGATGGATGGGTGTTGAGGGTTCGAAAATGGGTCTGAAGAGTGTGGAAGAAAGCCGGGAACACTTGTCCTTGGCAAAGCAAGGCAGAGATGTTTCCTTGCAAGTTGGCTCGAAATTTGAACAATGGTCCTGAATGCTACTAGTAGCTTCTTGTTCCTAGTAGTAAGACCAGGAGCTACTAGTAGTGAGTGATGCCCTTTGCTCCTAGTGGCGTCCTCTTGTTCCTATTGGTCCTGAAGGAGTGAGGATCCCAATGTGGATTCGGCCATGAGCAGCAACTTGCGCTTCCAGAGTGAAAGCCTGAGCTTCCAGACGTCTCGGAATCACATTCACTCACCAGCCTCCATTCGTTCACGTCAGAGAATCGAACGGTTTGACATGTTTGATTCGGCTCAGCTTTTTGGAAATGTACCAAGAGGGCAACTGTTCCTGGCGATGGCTGAAGGTGGTGCTGGAGCACACATTGGCTGCTCCATCCTCCCTCAAATGGCCAAATCTCCCACGCAGCTTTGGCAGAGATATGTGGGGTAGTTGCCGTTCAACTGCAGTTCCCAATGTGTTCTTCAAATTTCAGTTTTTCAAGTTTCTTGCATCTTGCATCTCATTAAGAGACTTCACACTTCAAATAGGTTGATCAAGTTCAGAACTCAGGAAGTTCACGATATCAGGCTCAGATGGGATCATTCGCCACTCGGTGCTTTTTCGCCGAAAAATCGACCTCAGCGCTTCCGGCTCAGTGCTGAGGTGTGCAAGAGTGGTTTACAGGCCAAGGGCAAAGCTCTAACGAAATCTCCCTTGAACAGTTTGCTGAGACCCTTGGACGAAACTATTGTTTTCATTTTTGTAATACAGTTTTTCGTTCAAGCCAGTTTCAGTTTGAAAGAGCAATGGAATTCTGAAGCCAAGCACGATCATGATATCAGCTTGCCAACTGCTTTTTTTGTCAATACGAAGGAGTGGTGAGACGTACGTGGAGCGAGTAGACAATGTGGTGAATCGTTACTTGGTGAAACCTTCTATACAGACTGTTGAGGCATCCTGGTGATTGTTCCACAACTCTTCGAGGACCAACAGGTTTCTCCCAAGAGTTCCAGACCAACAAGAGCTACTTCGTTAATCCTTTTTTTTGCAGGTCTTCAATCTTAGATCTTGGCCTTTGAACATTTTTTACAACAAAAGTTTGCAAGAGCAACGAAGAGCAGGGATTGTGCCTGGCTGAAGCTGATCGAGGCGATACCTTCTACTTCCAACTCATGACCTTCCTAGATGAGATTGCTCACCAGAAAAGTGGACAGAATCACAGTGGCAAGAAGATAAAGCAAGATACCAGTGGCTTGAAGTCAAGTGCTTCCGAGGGTTGAGCTAGGGGCTGGCAGATGCATGCAGTGGGCATCCGAGGAATATGGGTATGCCTTGGGCCTACTTGAGCAAGGGCCCCTCTGACACAGTGAGGAATGTAGCCCTGATTGATGAGATTTTCCGCAAGGCTCGTGCTCAACTTACCGGTTTGCGTTGTTTCACACGGATGTATTTACAAAGAAGATCAAAGAAGCAAACACGTACACACAATGACCCAAAGTCCACTTTATGTCAGATATCGACAAGGCTGGCATGAAGCCGCGACCGACTTTGACACCACCGCCTGCGCCGTATGAAAAGTTTGGTGTGTCCAAGTTGTAGTTGTTTTTCCGCCGGAAAGCACTTGGCGGAATGGCCACATGGCTTCATATGGCTTCATTGCTTTCGGTAAAGGTCACTAGTTATAGTTTCTTCCACCCCAGACTTTTGGCCATCTTCCATGCCTTCCGCCGTGCTCTGACTGACATGCTTGCATCACATCGCAGAATGTGTCCAACTATAGCCAAAAGAAAAGACAAGATGTTGAGAATGCAAGCAGTGTGCCTCCTATGTTTCAATGTGCACCAGTTTGACCATTGACTGTCTAAAGTTCAAAGAAGCTCAGATCGAAGGAAGGAACCGAAAAACACAAAAGAGGACACGCGCTCTTTAGCTTCTGTTAAAGGGTTTCCGCTTGATGTTCCTTCCCTTCACGGATATCCATCTGGATTCCAGGGCCATTCTCCATTTCGGGCATGTGATTTGAACCACTCGCAAGGGCCCTTGGAGGGTCTCATGTGGCATTGGCCCATGGGCACTCAGGTTTCACTCCGGGCGCAGGCCGAAGCTCACCTCCCGAGAAAAAGGGGACGAGCCGATCGTCGGACACAGGTCGGAGCAGATCCTTAGAGCGGGGAAAAATGCACATCCAATTTGTAGGGAGACTTTGCCGAACTTTGTCCGACAGTGTTTGTCCACCAATATAAATTTGCTGGATAATGTTGGGCAAGAATGTAGAGTATTGTAGAGTCCAGAATAGAAGAACTACTTTGGTTGCGCTCAAAAGCAGCCAAAGGCTTCAGTTCCCATCGTGTTGCCCTCACCAGTTGACCAGGTACACACATGAAGTGATTACGGTGTGGTACCGGCCACCTGAGATCCTGCTTGGTAGCCAAATGCCACAGCCTCAGCAGCCTCATTTGATTCGGGCCCTGTGTGGTCATCCACATGGGTGAACACCTACATCCAACTACTATTGGATTATTGAAAAGACCCAAAGATTTGGTAGTCAATCAGTCAATCTTATCAATGTGGCCATGGGCCATGTTTGTTTGCTTCATGCTTTGTGCAACCTTGAGATCCTGGAGTATATGGCCACACCATTTGATGTCACTGGAGACCCAATTTAAAATGATTCGACTCAATCTTATATATATATATATAAGTGGCCTCACGAGTGCAAAGTAAGTTCTCATGAGTCATGAGTCCCACAAAATAAAGCGCTGCAAGTGTACATCGACTGCAGATACAGCTTGCCTGTGGACTTGTGGAGCATTGGCTGTGTGATTGCAGAGGCAGGTTGATGATTCAAAGCTTTGTGAGTGACGTTCAGATACAGCTGCGTAGCTAACTCCTCCAGTCATGTTTGAGGGATGTGGTCGCTGGTCCTCCGGTTCTCCAGTTTATCCAGTGTCGTCCAACCGCCAGATGGCCATTGGCAGCGCGCAGTTTCCGGGTGATTCTGACCCTTGCAAGCCGAGTCAGGTCACAGAAGAAGTCAGGTCCATGCTGTCACATCCAAAGTCCTTGATGTGCCGCTGCACAATGTTCAATTCCCTCATCCAAAATTGTTTGCATCAATCTTGTACCTGGACTTGACACGAGATGGTATCAGCTTATTCTGAAGGACACCAGTGCTGAAGGGTTGGGATTTCCAAAGCCAGATGCCACAATTAACAAGCTGGAGATTGGCTCGAACTAAGGAGATTGATACCATTTTCAAAATCTTCCAGAGGCTTGGGACGCCTACTGAGGTGTGAAGCTTAGACACCAGAACCAATCATAGAGTGGTTGCCTTTCAAAACAAGAGTTTTAAGCAGCGAGAGATGAAAGGTCATTTGGGGTTTCAATGAGTCACTTCCATGCTTCTTGCTCCTAGTAGCGTCCTTGCTCCTAGTGGCGTGGCACTTGTTACTACTAGTAGTGCCCTTGCTACTAGTAGCGATGCCCTTTGTTACTAGTAGCTTCTTGTTACTACTAGTAAGGCCAGGAGCTCCTAGTAGCGTCCTTGCTCCTAGTAGCGACGCTCTTTGTTACTAGTAGCTTTTCGTTCCTAGTAGCGTCCTGAGAGCCGAAAGGGTACAGAATATCATTTGCACTCACTCTTCTTGCACTGAGCAAATGTGGCCGGGAATCACCGAGCTGCCATACTTCAAGCCGGGCACCTACTTTGCTTTTGATTGAGCTTCAAAATGGTACAGTGCTATCTTTTCCAAGCCTTTATCAAACATCAAAGTTGACGCACCAAGCGCCTCAGCATCGCTTAGGCCCAGCTGGCCTCAGTGGCCAGCGCACTGTTGGGCGCAAATCAAGAATATCTTGCCGCAGGTACTTCATCCAGTTGGTTTATTCATTTCAAATTTTCAACACAACTTTCAATGGAAATCTTCGGATGGCGCCACCGTTTGCTTCACTATATACATTTGTATCATAGGTGATGTTTTGCATCCGGTTTAGCCAGGTGGGTGCAGAAGGCGCAGATCTTTTGGACAAGCTCACTTACTACGACCCTAGACGGTGCCGACCTGAGATTCAGTGGCATCGCAGAATCCATCAAGGCTGCTTGATCTGCCGCCCATTGCAAATCCGGGAATGTAGAGTGTGGCAGAGAAGGAGAGGATAGAGGATAGAAGAAGAGTGGAAAATCGTGGAAGCCAAGAGAGCTGGAAGTAAGAATGCATGGTAGAGGCCATCGCTATTAGGGGGGAGGCCATGGCTAGTAGGTTGGAGGCCATTGCTATTAGTCTCAGGATTCTCTGTAGTACCATTGGCTTTTATGGTGAACCATGCTTGCCTGGCGCTGTGACAGGCGAATCAGTGCATACCGAGCACTGCAGCATCCGCCCGGACTCCACAGAGCTTTACCTGGCATCCACTGTAATCAGGGAGGGCAGACCGATTTGGTTTGTACATAGGTTAGACGTAGATTAAAAACCTAAAAAAACCTATATCCCTTTCGTCGTTGTGAACTCTTCACACAAGCAAAAACGCTGACAGGTATTTCAATGATGCACGAAGAGACCTGGGCGCCTAGGTGCGAATGTGTTTCGATGCAATCCTTGACTTAGGGGAATAGGAGCAGGTGCATGTTTGCACCAACATTAATTCCGCTTTGGGGCTTCATGGATTTGAAATATTCATTCAAATCAAGGGGTTGAAAACATACTTTACTTATTACAAAACAATATTGATTTGTTGCATTATATTAACTATATTCTTAAATTCCAAAATTATACAATTTATAGATAAATGACAATTATATTCGATATAGTTTAAAAACATATATATATATATTGCGAATGGAAGTGCAGCGACACGTACAGTGCAACTTGTACATATATATGTACCATATGTACTTTGGCTCAAGGATCAAGCGACTAGAAAAGGTGCGGTTTCCGTTCCGACGCTACGCCGCTTATGGACCGTCAGTGATAGCTTCAAACTTCGCTGATTAAGATCCACTCGCATATATATACATACAGACTACGATATATATAGCTCCGACTATATAGTTCCGTGTTTGTATGTTTGTCGATGGGGCGTCATTGTATTGGAAGTGTTATCGAAAATTATCAATCAATAAGTGTGTTTTTTGGATAAATATATTTAGGATGACACATATGTTGAACAATATTTGAAAGTAGACTTTAAATTATCCCGGCAAGATCCCGAACAGTGTGGGTGAGGTCTAGAGGTGTAGCAGCAGAAAGTCTAGAGATCAACCCCTTATGTATCTATATAGCTTGACATTGGCTCGCGGTACCGTGAGCGAGTGCGTGAGTGAGTGAGAGTGAGTGAGCGAGTGAGCGAGCGAGTGAGTGAGTGAGTGGGAGAGTGAGAGAGTGAGTGAGTGAGTGAGTGAGTGAGTGAGTGAGAGAGTGAGAGAATGAGTGAGAGAATGAGTGAGAGAATGAGTGAGAGAATGAGTGAGAGAATGAGTGAGAGAATGAGTGGGAGAGAGAGTGAGAGTGAGGTGAGGCGAGGTGAAGCGAAGCGAAGCGTAGCGCAGCGTAGGGCAGGGGAGTGGAGTGGAGTGAGAGAGAGAGAGAGAGGGAGTGAGAGTGAAGAGTGAGAATGAGAATGAACGTGTGGGAATGATGAGAATGAAAATGAAAATGGGGAAAATGATAATATCTATAAGAATGAAAATAAGAATGAAATGAAGATGAATATGAAAATGAATTAATGAAATAGCATAAAATAAAATAATGAAAAAAATATATATAATTAATTCGGATTTTGATGGATGTTTTATAAATATTATTTAAGATTATTATATTGCAAAATATATATTAAAGGAAATATATATATATATGATATTTAACTAATTCGGAATTTTGATGGATAGATTTTTAAGATTGCGAAAAATTATTTATTTATATTATTGGAATGATGAATGATATATTATATATAAGAAAGAAATGAATATAATTACGAATGTGGGAATACGAACGAGTGTTATTGGAGGTTATAATGTATTATATTTATATATGGTTATATTTAATTATTATTATAATTATTGGGGCGTAATAGTAGTGGTAGTCGTTGTAGTATTGATGGTCGTTTGGAGAGAGAAGGAATAATAATGGTACAATAAAATAATTTAATAGTATATTTTTTTAGTTTAACGTAAAACCCATCGATTTTTCTATTTTTTTTTGCATTCCGAAATTATTTTTCTAATGAGAATTATGTTGGTATTAATAATCGTCGTCGTAGTAGTGGTAGTAGTATTGCCTTTTGTTCCTTCTTTCCTTTTCTCTGGGTTTTCTTTTTTTTGTTTTCTAGTAGTAATGATAGTAGTAATAGTAATAATGATAATAGTCGTAGGATGAATATTAACCTTTTGTTGTATTTTTATTATTCCTCTTGTTCTTCATTTTCCTTTTCTTTATTCTTTTGTAATAATAATAATAATATTAGCAATAGAAATAGTAGTAGCAATAGTAATAATAATAGTAATAGTAGTAGTAATAGTAATAGTAGTAATAATAGTAATAGTAATAATGCTAGTAGGAGGAATAATATTAATAATAGTCGTAGCTTTCGTAAATATAATAATTAGTAATAAAAAATAATAATGGGTATTTTTTTTCTTTTAGTTTATCTTTATTTTTCTATTTCCTTTCCTATTTTTTTTTGTTCTTCCTTTTCTTTTTCTTTATTATTTTCTTTTTCCTTTAGTTCTTCCTTTTCCTTTTGTTTTTCTTCGTTTTGTTCTTCTTGCTTTTCCCTAAAATCTATTATCCATCTTAACCTCGTTCTCCTCTTTTTTTTCTTCTCTCCTTTCTTCTCTTTTTTCTTCTTTCTTCTCCCCTCTTTCCTCTCTTCTTTCCTTTCCTCTCTTTTCTCCTCTCGCTTATCGGAATCTCTATTTTCCTCTTTCCTCTTCACTCCTCTTTTTCTTCTCTTCTTTCTTCTTTTCTCTTTTCTTCTCGCTTATCGGACTTTCGTTCTCCTCTTTCCTTTCTCTTCTTTTCTTTTTTTTCCCCTCTTTCTTCTCTTTTTTCCTCTTTTCTTTTACTTTTCTTCTGACCTCTTTTTTTTCTTCTCTCTTCTCTTTTTTCCTTTTTTCTTTTATCTTTCTTCTGTCTTTTCCTCTTTCTTCTTTTCGCTCCTCTCTTCTTTTCTCTTCTTTCTTCTCTTTTCTTTCTTCTTTTCTCGCTTATCGGAGGCAATTTTTTGGGCAAATTGGAAATACTTGGGATTAATAATATGCATTTGATGAGGAATATATTTTAATTGTATATTAAAATCGCCGCAAATTATCCCAAGATTTTATTGGGGAGACGTTTAAGAGATTGTTGCGGTCCGAATGTGTTCGCATTTCGAAAATGTCTGCCCGAGTCTATATTGGGTAGACTAAGTTTGTTGGGACACAATTACAATATGATGCGGTCGAAAGAGGTTTAGGTAGACCTGGAATAGGCGGCCGGGGGTATACATTGCAATTGAGATCTGCTTTCTACGTACCAGGGCAAAGCGCCCCATAAGCAAGACCGATGCAAAGTGGCCGCTTATATGTATTAGATGCTAATGGTACTTCTCCATTCGTTGGTCATTGGTCATTATAGGGATTATTATTATACCAATACACCCAGATGCTATAATCAAGAAATCTAGAAGCATTTAATTAAAATCTAGACGCATTTAATTAAAATATTTTAAGGAAATTAAATTATCGAACAAAAATAGACGATAGGGGACTAAAGAATAGATTCTCGAAATATAGCCTGTTTAACATAGATAAGGTGTTTGCCACGAAAGATAAATTAATATTTTATAAAAAGAATTTATTAATAATATAATTTTCTATTATTATATTAAATCCTTAAATCCAACAAACAACCCTCCGCCAAACCCTCTAAAAACAAATTTAAAAATTATAAATTCGTAAAAATTTCCCGAATTCAATATCGAAGAATTAAACTTATATAATTTTTAAAATTTCATTCGATTAATATAATAATAAATTCTAAATTCATATATTTAATAACAATATCGAATATTGTATTTATATATATTAATTGTTATATGTATATTAATATAATATTGCAATTCAACATTAATATATCAAATATTATATATATTAATAAATAATTTTATCTCCAATATTATCCAATAATAATATAGTTTAGATCATATATTTTGTCTGTATAATTCCATAATTCGTTTTTAATCGTACCGATTTATGAAATCTTTTTATATATCATTTTATGTTGTCGTTAAGTTTTGCTCTACATAGGTCACACCCAGTTTTTCAGGGTTCTCTTTCATGGGTTTGCGCCTCGTAGTTGCACGGTTGGCACGAACATTCACCTGTTGTTGATATCAATTCAGATTTGTCTTTGAAAGGAGCAACCTGAGGCAGTGACACTGCAGGGGGTCGGAAAAGCCAATCCTGGTGAGGTCAAACAGTCACTCTCTCAAAAAAGAATAGACAAAATCCCATCCTCGATAAGAACGAAGTCCAAGTCTTCCAGAGTGTCTAGCATCTCCAAGCTTTCTTCAACCTCAAATTCTTTGGAAAATCAAATATCCGTGCATGGCGGAAGAGACCATAAATATAATACCACAACCTGTCCGGAGTTGAGTAAAGGGCAAAAGAAAGTCTTCCCTAGCATTAGCCATGCATCTGTGTTGGTGATTGGCTTACCTTTGGAATTAAAGCTTGTGTTGATTAGGGCAGCAAGGCCAGTTCTCTTGCCAACAGCCAGAAGTAAGGCATGTATCCAGGGTTCATCTTCCTTGCCCACTGACTGATGTCTTGCAGTACCGTCAAAATGGCTCAAACCAGGAAATCGCTTCCTTACATCCTCCTTCACCAGCGGCGCAAATTCCATGTAGGCCGATCGAAATTTATGCCCAAAGATCTCTTCCAACGCTTCGTCCGCGATCATGGGCGCCGCAGGGCGGTACCACTGCCGGAACTTGATGCGATTCATCCGATCCTTCATGTCGGCGTCGGGAAAGGCCAACAAGGAACGATGGCCCAACGCCCTCGGACCGAACTCCTGTCGGCCTCGCACCACCGCAATGATCGGCTTGGCATTCATTCGGCTTCGGGGATCTGCTTGCCAGGCAGAACCCCCAGCAAAGAGCTCTGCCAAATACTCGAGGCCACCAAGATCTGAAAGCTTCTGGGCACCTGTGGTTGTTGGATGAGATTTCAAAAAGTCGGTTGGCCAAGAAAATCCAGCAAAACCATCCAACAAGATCCAACAATTACTTTTTCTCCCCACCTTGCCTCTTTCTTTTGCGTGTTCGCCAAGAGTCTCTAAATCAAACAGCCGAAAGCCGAGGTATTGCAAAGGCTGTTGCACAGTAGGTGGAAATAGAGACCACACAGCTCCAATCGCTAGACCTGCATCATTCGGAGCAGGCGGCACATAGACATCCTTTGGCTTGCTACTGTCGGGCATCTCAGATGTAAATGATGTCAACGTTTCACGGATGATTTGGTTGGTCAGCACATTGAGTGCACAGCCCCCCCACCAATACAATGCCTTCCACCTTGATACCCTTGAGCTTCAACTGCAGTAAGTAGCCTGCAACCAAAGGTTGCACAAACTTGGCAAACTCATCCTGGGCAGATGCCGCAACTGCCTGCCGGGCCTCTTCTGAATCACATATCATATGCAACACTGCAACAGGCATGTCATAAACTCCTTCTTCAGCTCTCTGATACATTTTGCGAAACCACCGACTGGCCTCCGCTGATGGAGCTCTGATTCCTGAGTATCCCATCAGCTTGCCAGCAAATCCCTCTCTTTTCTCAGCCTGCCAATAGATTGTTCCGTCGGACCAGTCATCTCCGTCTTTGCGCACGGTTGGACAAAACTTATCCAGCACTGCAGGAAGCCCAGTGACTGCAGGCAAAAATGAGCCAATGCGCTCATAAATCTTTCCAAGATTGATGTTGCGACGCCCGATGCGGTCAATGTCCAGACCATGCCCCAGAAACGCGTTGAAGGTGCCGTCGTTGCCGCCCCCATCAAAAGAGAGGATGAATGCTGATCTAAAGGGAGAGCTGTGATATGCCATGAGAGCATGCGCCTCATGATGATTCACACTTCGCCAGACTTTTACAGAAAAGACTGTGTCCATAAGCTTCGGAAGCAAGGTACTCTGATACCGCGTGTACATCCCAAAATCCACAATCAAACCATATTCAAAGGTGGCAGGACAAGCACCGTCCTCGCACTCACACTGGTCCCGAACGGTCTCTGCTGCAGTAAGCCAGTTTTTGTTGAAATCGTCCAGTTTGGGAAAGAAGTAACGCCTCCCAAAGAGTCTTTCCAGTTCCAAAACGCATTGGATGCGGCTTCCAATGGCCAAAACGATCTGTGCATCATGGCCCATGTGGATGGCTAACACACCTTCGGTTTTCCCCAGTGAGGTCCAGGTAGGCCAGGCAAGACCATAGACATCATTGCGCTTGTAGCTGAAGCCTCTGCGCCATGGCAAGGAAGCACGACTCGCCTTGACCGCGAAGGTGGTGCTGTTGCTGGACCTGGGAAGGACGGAGAGCCAGAGGTCGATGGTCTATTTCGATGACCCAAGTGTTCTTTTTGCAGAGCGGAAAAGGCTACAGCATTGATTTACAACATTGCTTTGAGTAATAATCGATTTTCCACACTAAGGACCATGACCCCTCCCCACTCATTTTAGTGACTTAGCACTTTGCAATGCCCGGTTCAGTTCATCAACATTCCGCCAAGCTTCCAGGAGGTTCCAGGGCTCTTCCTCCCAATGGGTAGACCAATCTTGCATGATGGAAACATATTGGGATTGCACATCTCATCTTGGCCAACCTGAGCAAAACACCCACTCCGCAAGTTCCGAAACGTGCAGAGTGGGTCGCAGCTAGGTGTCGCCATAGTGGCCAAAAGTTTGACAACATTCCAGCTTCCTTAAGCTCGAAGGACTACAGTTCGAGAACTGAGAAAAGTTGTAACACAAAGACCCTTTTAAAGCTCAATCTAAGCGCAACTTGGCTGCTGTCTCACCATCCACTGCATGGAGAACATTAGCAACCTCACCAAAGTGCTCAGTGGCGATTGCTACTCAAAACATATATGCTTCTGGCCAAGGAGCTTGAAGGACAAAAGCGAAAATGGCTCTCATTGGCATATCACTAAAACGGTTTCAACAAGAGCATGGTCATCTGAAAGCAAGTGATAGCAAGTTGGCCAAAACTTGCAAAAATGTTGTGCGCACCTGAAGTTCAAATGCGATGTCTTTGGCTTCTTTAATTTCATTTGGGCCAACAGCTAGGGCACACCAAGTGTGTCCCATGAAGGGCGCGCGGGCGCTGGCTTGGACAAATGCAACATGAGCGCGTGTGCTTCAAAACGTGACTGAGGGGTCTTGGATTCACAGTCAAAAACAATTGGAACTGGATTGAGCAGGCGAAAGCACAAGTCCCAACAAGGCGCCAGTCCCGTCCCACCGGAAGGCTCCGCGCTTTTGCTCGGACTGGCGCTGCGAGCGAGGCTATTCCGCCCCTCCGTGGCATTGCGCCCAAGGCTCGGAGCACCTGTGCGATGCTGAGCGGCCAAAAAGGCGTTGGCGTTCTATGAGCGACAAGAAGCTACTAGGGGCCTTACTACTAGTAACAAGAACGCTACTAGGAACAAAGGGCATCGCTACGAACGGAGCAAGGGCACTATGAGTGTTCCAAAAAGGACTGGGCTTTGTTTGGACTTTGCAAAAGGTGCAAAACCTCTCTCCAGGTCCGGAAGAACTTCCACTTTTGTTGATTGATGTGGGGAGATTCATATGGATTCACATGGATTCTCGGGTGCTGTTTCCTCACGTCTCCGTGTGTTCTCACTTAGGCGAGCACCTCTTGAAGGGCCTTGCTTAGGCGAAGCGGTTCTCGCTCTCAACATGGAAGGCGCCTAGGCGATCGCACCACACCGAGGACATCCGAGGACCCTTGGCGAATCGGTCACACTGCGGGGGGGAACAACGACGTTCGATATTCCATGACAGCACACAGGCAACAGCCGAAGAACGTCAAAGGACTTGTTTTTAAAGCCGCTCCGCCCCCCTACCTAATAGCACCTAATAGCAATTGGCAATGGCCTCCAACCTAATTGCAAATATCGGGTGACAACTGGGTGCATCGTCCCGCATCTGGTAAATGATGTCAAGTCCTTCATCATCTTCAATTGCAATCCAATAGAGAAAATATCATCCAACTGTGTCCGAATGTCCAACTCAGAATTCCTTCGTAGCTTATTATAAGAACGCTTGTCAGAATATATGTATATTTTACCCAATTTACCTTTCCTCCAAGTAGCACAAGTACCGCGGATGGGGTTCTACTGTTGAAGCTGTCTTACTCAGCGTCTGGCAAATTGCAAATCTGATTTCCCCCCACATGCTTCCATTGACCCTCCAAAGCTTCCACTCAGCTGAAAGAAGGGCTCGCGTGCAGTTTTGCAAGAATCTGAGGCCTGAACCATTGGAGGCTTCCTTGATGTGTCACAGTCTAACAAGGACAAGCAGCCAGTGGCAAAGCCACAACCACACGCTCCATTCTGGCAAATCCCCAAACGGTTTTTGTTCATGAACCCAAATCAAAGAACTCCGGAGCCAAGCCCTCTACCCCGGCAAAATCGCCGTGAACTTCCTCTTGGCTGAGCCCAGGTCTTTTCCGACCTCACCAAAATGAACCGAACAGGAGTCCAGAATTTGTCCATGACGCATGGCAATGACTGGGATTGATGTTCGGAGGTTCCTTAATTAGTTGTTGACGCACCTGTGATAGACGCAGAGCTCAACATCTCCCGCAGAATAAGTCGGAGTGTAGGGCCGATGCCTCTCTCACAAAGCTACGTTTTGTATCGACCTGCGGCATGCTGCATGACACAAGCCACTGGGGAAATGCATGAAAGCAGCTAGGGCAAATGCTGACTCTCTTGCGGTATCTTGCTATCGGGCCATGGTATGTGTATCATCTCTTGGAAAAAAGGGTGCTTTGTGCAATGACGAAGAGCTAATTTGCATCGGGCGTTCAAGTCGTCCATTCTTCGTTTTCCTCTCCTCCAGAACATAGCGGGCGTTCCGAGGTGCCGCATACATCATGTGGCCCAAGGGCGCCTCGGATCTCCGAGCGCCGCCACGACACCGCTGGGCTGCGTCTGCGAAGTTCGCATTGGAAGTGATGAGTCAGTCGCCTTGGGCTGAGTTCCACACTGCTGTGATGCAGGAGTACTTCTCTGCCTCGCAGATTGATCAGACTGAGGCGTGTGCGTATGCGTGTGTGTACACCTTGAAGTCATAGGTAGCCTTTGGGTTTTGATGACTTGTTGAATTAGCAGGGGGCATAGGAGGCCTATAGAGCTGTGCCCAACGAAGCTCTCTGTCGTGTCAGGATATGCAGCCTGATCAGCTGCACACGCCTGTTCAAGTGCTAAAGTTCATTTCCTTACGGTCCCTGGTGCAATTAGAGCAATGTGCCAGCCTTTGTATCGGTTCTTCAGTGGCAGATGTGCACTTGGAGTCTTGGCACTTGAGAGCCTTGGAGTTTTGGAACTTCGCCTTTGAGACGTGCAACTTCATGGTCAGACCACCTTACTTACTTGCACTTCGTTCTGGTTTCTTTCGTTTTTCCCAAACAGTGTAGACACACTAGGGGTTCTTACGGTAGGTGTACAGCAGCTCTCGCTCACACTCGCACTCACACTCACTCTCCCACTCTCACTCACACTCGCAATCACACTCACACTCACTAACTTTCCCACTCTCTCACTCTCTCACTCTCTCTCTCTCACTCACTCACTCACCCACCCACCCACCCACTCACTCACTCACTCTCACTCTCACTCTCACTCGCTCTCACTCTCACTCTCACTCTCACTCTCACTCTCACACTCACAATCACTCTCACTCTCACTCTCACTCTCTCACTCTCTCACTCTCTCACTCTCTCACTCTCTCTCTCACTCTCACTCTCACTCTCACTCACTCACTCACTCACTCACTCACTCCGTCACTCACTCACTCCCTCACTCACTCACTCACTCACACTCACTCTCACTCACTCTCACTCACTCTCACTCACTCTCACTCACTCTCACTCACTCTCACTCTCACTCTCACTCACTCTCACTCTCACTCTCACTCACTCTCACTCTCACTCTCACTCTCACTCTCACACTCGCACTCACAATCACTCTCCCACTCTCACTCTCACTCACTCTCCCACTCTCACTCTCACTCACACTCACTCGCACTCTCACACTCACACTCACTCTCACTCTCACTCTCACTCTCTCACTCTCTCACTCTCTCACTCTCTCTCTCTCTCACTCACTCACTCACCCACCCACCCACCCACTCACTCACTCACTCTCACTCACTCACTCACTCACTCTCACTCACTCTCACTCTCACTCTCTCACTCTCTCACTCTCTCACTCTCTCACTCTCTCACTCTCTCACTCTCTCACTCTCTCACTCACTCTCTCACTCACTCACTCACTCCGTCACTCACTCCGTCACTCACTCCGTCACTCACTCC